TTTCTTCCTCTATCTGCAATATCTAGCATGCCCATCACCTTGGCATATAACCACCTTTAATGACCTTTAGTCATATACTAGTGATCAAAGGGTATGAGCTCTGTCTCTCACCAACAGAAGTTGGTCCTATAAAACATATTACCTTACCCACCTTGTCTCTCTAATGTAAGAAGTGACAGATTTAAAAATGTGAAGAAATAAAATCAATCAGTTCCACATATCAATTAACAGGTACCATTACCTGTAGATTTTCATTAGTATAGCGGAAAAAGGTAGATTAAATTAATTAACAGCATCAGAAAATACCATTCTAATATTGGAGAATGGATGATTGAATCCAGGGCTAAGATGAACTTCAAAATCCATGAGAAGAGTTTTAAAAACTCATTATGGAAGCAATAAAATAGAGGGAAATCTTCACTAAAGAGTCCACCTCCAGCAATCTACCATTTGTATTAAGTAACCACTTTAATGTGTCCTTATTAGAGCTAGTATTTGGTGCAAAAAGTTCAAAGAAAATGAAAGTATTGGTATTTTTCATACAACTTTTCAGGTTTTTGTTGAAAAAAGAAAAAAGAAAATCAAACAAGAACCACAAAAACAAAATGGGTTTTGGTTGTTGAAAACCAATTCCCCCCCCCCCCCCCTTTTGTTTTAAAAAAAAAAAAAAAAAACCCTGACAAATTTTGACAAAAATAAAATTTTGTTAGAAAATGTCCATTTAGTCCATTTTTTCCCAACTTAACTTTCATCCATATGCTACTTTCAGTTTAATTTTGTTTGATTTTTAATTTAACAAAAAATACACCTCAGCAAGGTGAGTGATTTATGCTTGATCCTCAACTGCTAGTTTAAGGCAGATTTTTCTGTGATTATTTTTGGATTCTTTTTAATTTTTTACATTAGAACAACAAGAACAGACCAGACTAGAATACGGCCCAAATCTCTGTCTTTGTTCACCCCTGAACTCCTTTGGAAGTCAGTGAGAATTTGGCATTCGCTAGCCATGCTGTCCATAATATTGTCATAACCAGGATCTCTCTGCTTTGAGAGGAAGCGTAGGGTCTAGGAGCCAGGACTCCTCAGTTCCATTTCTAGCTCTGTCACTAATTTGATTTGTGACCTGGGCGAGTCCTGGAGTTGGCTCCCCTCTGAGATAATACTGAGCTAACTGGGTGTTCTGAGGCTTAAGAAATTAGTGTTTGTAAAGCCCTTGGAGATACTCAGGTACATAAATGTGAAGGGTTATTATTTATGATTCTTCATTTTTAACCTGTCTTTTAAGATAAAATTATACAGGTGCAAATTATACCGCACCCGTAGGGTAATGATACCCTTGAAGAACAGTAATTTTATGGTAGATTGGTGTTGTTATTAAAATGAGAATATTATAGAGGAGTCAGAGCACGTAGATTCAGTCTTGCATAACAGAGTTTATAATCCCACCTATGGGAGGGCAAAAGAATACAGCCAACCAAGTCCTGTTAGGGTGACCAGTCCCACCTTGCATTGCAGCCCACTGAAATACATGATTTGTTTAATGCATAGTGAAATAATCTTTCTTTCTTACAAAGTTCAGGGCAGTCACCACAGTATAAGGATAATTCTCAGCGCTGTGTAGTTACAGTGTACAGAACTTTACCTTTTCAAGCCTGCGCTACATAAGTTAGCTCATTAACCCTCGCAAACGCCTTTTGAATGGCAGCATCGTTATCCATCATTTGCAGGTGGGGAATTAAGGCACGGCGCGGTTCAGGTGGACGTTTTCAGAAGCGGCCACTGATTTTGGCTGGCCTCAGTTTTGGAGTGCTGGACTCGAGATGCAAGAGGCTAGATTTTCAGGAGAGCACACTACCTTGGGTGAAAATCTGACCCAAGCTGTCTCAAGTTGGGCACCCAACAGTGAGACATCCAAAATTAGAGGCGACATTTGGAAGTCTGGTTGCAAGTGCCTTGCCTCTGAGAGTCAGTGTTTAGTTTAGTTGGGGTTAGAGCTCAGAACCTCCTGGGTAACTAGGCTACATTGCTTCTCTGTTACAGCACAGCGGCCTGTTGCTGTCAACTCTGATGAACTCTGGAAGAACTCACTGGATTAGCAAATAGTCAACAGATTTCAAAGATGTACCCTTCTCTGCTCTTTGCTCTCAGCCGGTTGCTCACAGCGAGATCTCTCAGGAGCTGAAAGCACGTTGGGGGAAATTTTTAAAAGCAGCAAAATGACTAAGGAGCCTGCATCCCATTTTCAAAAATGACTTAGGGACAGATTTTCAAAGCTATTTGGGTGCCTGAAGATGCAGATAGGCACTGAAGAGTATTTTCAAAAGTGCCTAAGCAAGTTAGGCACCTAATCCCCACTGAAATCACACACCTTTGAAAATACCCCTCGGGACTTAAAGGCCAGATTCTCAAAGGTATTTTGGTGCGTCAGAATACTTCTAAGTCATGTCAGTGCCTTTGGAAACGTTACTCCTTGCTGTGCTGGAATGGCCACCTGCCTTTATCTAGAGATGCTTCTGCCTCTTTTGAGGGATCTGGTATTGGGGATCGGACAGGGGCTAGAGAAAAGAAGAAGGAGAATTTTCATCAGATGGACTTTTGATATTTAAGGGTGAGATTGTTTCTGGTTTTGCCCTGGTGCAAAGGACCAAATAATCCCTCGGCTTGGTTGAGTAGCTACCAAGGGCCAGATACAATCTTGACTCTTTTGCTTCTAGTCTGCAAGGAGCAGGGCTGTCTAGCTCTGACAGCAGCACTGGATATCCCAGACTGGATAGCAGCGCCCTCCACCCCCTGCTCCCCAATTCTGCACAGGTCAGTGAACCAAGGCCAGGTTGGGTGAATACACGCTACTGCACTCCAAAGGGTATCACATCTGCCACTCTGCTGTGCAGCCCATCAGGGCTGCTGGTGCCTCTATGGCTGAGTCATTCAGAATTCCTCCGGTGACTGCTTCTGGGGAGGAGCACAGCCACACCCGTCCCCTCAGTGTGGGCTCCAGTTGTACAAGCGGCAGTGGAACACTTACATTTGTTTTGCAAGGTTTTATGACCCTGTCGAAACAGCTGGATGTGATCAGGGACACCGGAGACGAAGGATTATTTGTCATTCATTATAGGGCAGAATAAAGAGGCAGGTTATTTCACAGTGTGCTAAATCAGGGGAAATCCAGGCCCTGCACTGGGTGTTTCTCTTTCCGCGCCGTCCCGGCTCACATGATAATGTTCTCATTTTAAAAATATGACCCAAATAGAACACGTTGGATGGCTAAGGCGTCATTATTAGGAGTAAGGGCTGTAATTAGTAAAGATGAGGGAAGAGGCTAATTCAGCTGTATACAGGACATTCGGACTCCGCTGACTTGTACTTATATTCTTTGCTCACAACATAGAAAACCCAGAATATTTTTCTGTCCGACTCAGGGTTTATTTACAACTTTTCTGCATTTTCACATGCAACGACCCTGGCAAAGAATGATGGATGTCTGAACTGCAGGCGAATTTTGTTTTTATTTTGTTCCTGCTGGCATGATGGGCAATATAAGTTCATGTTCTGACCTTCCCCGTGTTAACCACTATGGTCATTTCACAGCTTGTCCTCTGTCATTAAATCCAATCACCACTGGGTGGCACATGTATTGTGCAATTTTGTGATCGGTGCTAGATCACTTTGTATAACTCTAGGACCGAATCATACAGAGATTGTTTCATTCAAATCCACCTGACCAATAAAAGGCTTGCCAGGGAGGAAAGGTATTTGTAAATTTATTTTTGTGAAACCTACTTAAGGGATCACCCAAGATACTGACAAAGATCTGTTCCTTGGAGGAGGTGGAATAGACTTGTGTCTGATACGCCTGGGCATGCTTTGGACTGGTCCCTTAAGACAGGAGGTATCTAACAAGGAGGGGTCGCTTGCACAAGAGACACTGTCTTTGCTATTTCGATATAACAACAGGAGTGCAGAGTGGTTCAAAAACATAGAAGTCAAGATCCTTGCCAAAAATCTGTATTGATGTCAGGCAAAAAACATGATAAACAATGAAAACAGATGGGGAGGGGGCAGGGAGTGAAAAGACAATAGAAAACAATAGGAGATGGCGCCTGCTCATGGGGGAGTGTTGTTTTTGTTATGTTAGATTCTTAAAAGGCCTCTACATGCTAAACAAGAATTTCAGCCCGGGAGCTTAAATTCATAACTTTGCTAGACACTAAAATTCATGGAGTTAATAAAGACACTGGACTTGTGGCTTATTGCAACAATCTGTAACCCACTAACCTCCCTTTTGTGTCCTGTGACTACAGAGGTGTTACGAGCACTTCACCTTGAATTGTACCTTGAACTGTTTGCCAGAAGCTGGGAATGGGGATGATGACCTGTTCTGTTCATTCCCTTGGGGCACCTGGCATGGGCCACTGTCACCAGACAGGATACTGGGCTAGATGGACCTTTGGTCTGACCCGGTACGGCCGTTCTTATGTTCTTATGTTATGTTCTTATGTAACCACTTACAAAATGTTTTAACTGTCCAGAGAGAAGAGCTCTAAGAGCAGCCTGGTCTGGGGAGCAGGCTGGAGATGGATTTTATGTCGACGTCTTTGTTAATAAAACCCGGGGACGGGGAGATGGGCGAGTTTGGACGTTGCAGAATGTGCGGTCTGTGTTTGCAGAGCAGGTTGGGTTGGGGAAGGCTCCTGCTTGCACACGGGGTTGGTTGGCAGAAGGACAATATCAGGGCTGCCCATGAATGAACAGGGTTGCAGCAAATGCACTGGGCTGTCTCCCTGTTTCCTGTTGTTTGCAAATAAGTTGGGGGGGGGGAGTGGACTGGAGCACCCTTTTTCAAATGTGCATCGGCTGGGTTATTAATGTGGGCTCCTTTTCCAGACTCTTTCTGGGAGTTCAGCTACTTTGTCCATTTATACTGTAACTGGGGAGGTGTTTGTCAGCCTGTTTTGGGTTTGATAGGGGACTGGTGGTGGGCAAAACCCCTGGAAAATGTCTCAGTGTCTCACAGAGCAAGGAGGCAACATGGTGACCCGGAGCACTGAAAAGACAGCGAACACGTGAGGAGCAAGACACCCTTACACTGCACACTGGGCTGTTGCATTCAGTTTTATTGCCTCACTTACATATACAACTGAGGGAAAGGGGAGGGTGAAAGAATCTATCCAGAATATTCATCAGCTACCCGCAGCATGCAAACAGTCCAGAGCAGCAGTGCAAAGCTAAGGGCCAGAGAGGAGCGAGAAGCCATCATTTAGACAAGACATTAGAAATTATCAATGAGAGCCATTGTGTTACTGGATAAAATTCATCCCTGTGCGTCCTTTAAATGTGACTGCGTCCAGCTTGATGTCAATGTGATTGACTTCAAAGGGGCCAGGATTTCACTCTCAGGGCTTAAGCGGAACGTAAGTGGTGTACACACTTTGTGCTCACGCTCTGCCCGGGGTGAGTATCGTCCTAACAGGAGCCCAGCAGACATGGAAGGAACCTCAAGTTATATTGGGTGTCAAAAGTCAGAGGGTCAAAAATGTGTAGCAGCAAACCCCAGTGTGGCACTGACTAGACCAGGCTTTCCTGTCACTTGCCCTGGCATAAGTGAGAGCTGACTCCAGTCCCCGTAAAATCCGTGTGAGAGAGAGGAGAACCAGGCCCACTAGATCCCAAGCAGTGGAGGGTTAGCAGCATATTGTACAGACCGGTTCATGCAATCTCAGCTTCACATCCAAGCGCAGCACCCAGCTAAGTGTCACAGTGAATGTGGGGGGTTCTGGTTCTGATCCGGAGATGCGAATGGACAGAACCATGCGGTAGATAATGCAGAAGGAATTGATGCTGCCTGGGCTTAAATTTCACTTTAGAAATAATCATTCCTTGCCCCAGCTCCAGGCTCAAATAAATCATGCAAAGTGAAGCTCAGTGGTTTGAGCATTGGCCTGCTAAACCCAGGGTTGTGAGTTCAATCCTTGAGGGGGCCATTCAGGGATGTAGTTAGGGATTGGTCTTGCTTTGAGCAGGGGGTTGGACTAGATGACCTTCTGAGGTCCCTTCCATCCCTGATATTCTACATTCACTCTTGTGTGACATAAATGGTGCCTGGGTCTTGTATGTGCCCCTGGCTTAGGGGTCAGTTTTACCTAACGACTCCATCATTATCCCATAGAAGAACCCATTCCCAAAGCAGACTGAGAGCCAGATTCTCAGCTGGGTGAAATCAGCAGAACATCATTCAAGTCAGGCATCAACTGAGGGTCTGGGCTAATATCCGCTTGGGCCTTGCCAGATAAAGTGCTCTCAGGTGGCAATGTTTCGCTTTCCTGACCTTGACAAACCACCACTGTGCTTTCAAAATTCTCCTTGCCCAATTTCCTGCTCTCTACTTGAGCAACATTCTCCCCGACTTGAGTTTTGCTTCATTAAAGAAAATTTCTAGTTCCTGCCTCACACACTCGTACCCGACTATCGCAACTCATCGCTTTCAAGAGCCAGTGTGAGACAGAAGGCGTAACTCCCTGGGCTTGAAAACCGAGGGAATGGTAAATAACAAAGAGGAGCGGTCACTGATTCCGAGCAATTTGGAACGCTTAGTAAACTGGTTGCAAGCAAACAACATACATGTTAAAATGGCTAAATGTCAATGTATATATCTAGGAACAAAGGCTGCTGGCCATACTTACAGGGTGGGGGATTCTATCACGGGAAGCAGTGACTCTGAAAAAGATTGGGGGGGTTCAGTATTTGGCACTGGTGCAAGCACAGCTGGGATCCTGTGTCCAGTTCTGGTGTCCACAGTTCAAGGAGGATGTTGATAAATTGGAGAGGGTTCAGAGAAGAGCCGTGAGAGTGACAGACTCAAGGAGATCAATTTATTTAGCTTAACAAAGAGACGGTCAAGGGGTGATTTGGTCACACTCTACAAGTACCGACATGGGGAACAAATACTTAATAAAGGGCTCTTCAGTCTAACAGAGGAAGGTCTAACACGATCCAATGGCTGGAATTCAAAAGCGAGATAAATTCAGTCTGAAAATAAGACGTACTGGTACGTTTTGAACAGTGAGAGTAATTAACCGTTAGAACAATCGACCAAGGGTTGTAGTGGATTCTCCATCGCTGACAGTTTTTAAATCAAGATGGGATGTTTTTGTAAAAGATCTGCTCGGGGGATTATTTTGGGGGCGTTCTCTGACCCGCATTACACAGGGATTCAGCCTAGTTGATCACAATGGTCCCGTCTGGCTTTGGACTCTCTATGCATCTATGAAAGCATCTGCTCCCCCCCCCCGTCAAATCCAATCCCAATACATTAGGGGACAAGCCTGGGTGCTACACCAGCTGAGAGCTTGTCCCCTAATGTATTTTATAGACAGTAGCAGGAAAGCATTGCAGGAGAGGTTTGGAGTCATAGCAAAGAGGCTGTGAGGAGGGAGACCATGCCCTGGTCACCTGGTCAGAAGTAAGTGCGCACTAGGGTTACTTGGATTTGTATTGCATTTTCTGCCTCAGTTACACAAGGAGCCATTTGGGCCCTTACTTCTTTGGTGGCCACCAGTGAGGGAAGGGTCGTGGTTTCTGAGAAGGCCAGGAGT